TTGTGTTTGCCCTCAATCTAATGTCCACATATGAGGGAGAACATACGATTTTTGGTCTTTTGGGCCAGGCTAACCTCACTCAGAATGATGTTCTCCAATTCCATCCATTTACCAGCGAACGATAACATTTCGTTCTTCTTCATGGCTGCATAAAATTCCATTGTGTATAGATACCACATTTTCTTGTCCATGACATTTGATCAGCTCTTTCTTGGTAGCTTGCCATAGACCATGTGTAAATGAGTGGTGTGGCCAGGTTAGGCATGTGGGCTGGAGTGAAAAGGCTTGCCACCCAGCATGGTAATTCAGGCCTGTAATCCCAGCACAAGGAGTAAGGAGTGGGGGGGATTGGGCAGAAGATTGGGAGCTTGAGTCCACCCTCGGCTACAGAATAAGACCATATCACAGAAACAAACAAAACCCACAAGTGCCCAGCCCAGTAAGTGGAAAGAACAAGGATGGACCCACCCCCAAGGCAAACCACTGTGGACTTGGGGAGGAAAGAAAAATCCTGAGAAAAACTCTTTCCATTTTAAACCTTCTCTGCCGAACTTCCTAGAAAGTTATTTATTGAAGGGTGCGTTCTGTTAAAAGGAGAGTAAACCAAGAGTGGTGAAACTTTGTTGGGATCCTAGAAACAAGGGGTCCAATTTAGGAAAGAGAGAAGGCAGTTGTCAGGATGGCCAAAGCAGGGCAAGCAACAGGGTCATGAAGTCAAGATTGGCATCCCTTCACATTTATCTAACACCAGTCATTCCAGAGAAGGCTGGATTAAATGTCTGAGATTTTGTAATTTATATTTATGTGCTAAATGATGTGTAACCTCACTGTGGGCCAGTGCTTTGCACATCTGCTTACATTTGGGGTTATCTGTTTGGAAGAGGAATATTTCAGTGGTGGAAAGCATCGCCCCCCACTAGAGCCCGGAGGTCCAAGGGTCCTAACAGGTGTATCTTAGGGAACGGAAAACAAAACGGGCCAACAGAAATCCTGACTACTCCATGGCATATTTGACAATGTTGAGAGGGTTTACAGTTTGGATGGAGAGTTGGCGGTACAATAGAAACAGATATGTAGGGGAAAAAAATCAAATAAAACACTAATTTTTAGAGTAAGAAAGTTAAGTTTTCATGAGATGAGCAATGAATGATACAATACATGAGTATTGCTGTAATCAAGGTGGTGTTAGGATTTTATTAGAAGAATGGAGAAGAAACGTGGAGTCAGAATTGTAGGAAGTCAGATAACATAAATCTGGAAAATCAGGAAGTAATAGTTCTAAAAAAATTGGTGTATTCAGAAACATGAGATAATTATCACAGTACTGAAAGTAAGTGCTTTTGGGGAGAGAAATCAGAAGTGATGAGGATTGGTAAGATGACCATTTCATTAAATGCTTTGCTATTGAATTTTTTTACTGTAGGTAATTTTTATTTTTCATCAGTGTGAAGTTAAGTGGATAAAACAAATGTTTACTTAAGATGTTAAGCTTTTGTTCTAATCCTTTAACTGTAAAAACATGATAATACAGTTCTCTATTCATATGTGTATCACTTGTTAAATTTGGTTCTGACTCATTAATATCTGGCTTCCTTGGCTGTGATGGAAAAATATATTCTAAGAAACATGAGTCAGTCCTGTGCTAGTCTCCGTGTAGAACGTAATTCAGTTAGGATCCATAAATAGTTTGTTCATCACTGCTCAAGAGGGATAATAACCTCGCCCAGACCAAGGAGTCGGAGCCATGAAGGTGTACCGGCCTCCTGTAGTCTTCAGAGGCAGGATGGACCGAGAGTGGATCGGCTGCTGCTGTGAGTGTTGGCTCTTCGCTAGGAGCTTTGTAACATTGAAACGCAACTGTCATAAGTTCCATCCATTTTTGTTTGTTACTAATAGAGAAGTGGAATGTGCACATTGTGCAATGAGAACATACCTATGTAACTTACATGCTGAAAAATGCCAGTAATGTGTGTTACTAAATGTTTCCAGCTCAGAACATTTTTCTTAGTCGACTACCCTATATCACTGTGTTGAAACTGAAACCTAACACCATTCATTCTAGATAAAGCTGGATTGAATATGTTTTGAGATTTTGTTATTTATAGTTGACATGCTTCAAAAAGTAAGTCTTTGGCAATAGCTGCTTGAGAGAGAAATATTTTAGTGATGGAAGGGCACTGTGGCTGATAATATTTTTAAATACTTCAATGGCTGAAATGTTGGCCATTTGCACTGCAAAAGATTTATATTCAAATTGTTATACAATTCATATCCTAATTTAAAAAAAATCAGGATTTTTTTCCGTAGCTCAGAATTTGGGCATTTGCATTATAATGCTCCTACAATAGTTTTGTTAATGACTGACAAGAACTAGCTGTGTGGACACCTGGAGCAGCTACATGCATCTCCACCGTGCAAATTGGCAGGAGCCGTTCTCTGAAGAGCAAAGTCTGTAAAGAGTCACATATGTCTCACTTTCTAGGTTATAATAGAAAGTGCCAGCAAAGATTTGTAAGTCAGTTGTTGGAATTGTGTGTAGATGGAAGTGTTTTCAGTAACTAGGAAGTCAGGAGACCTGTGGTGGTGCTTCTTAGGAATGCTTAAGATACTGGCTATAATAATAATCAGGTTTTAAGATCCAGTATGACTTCATTGTGCTATTTGGTAAATCTCCAGCTGCCAGAAGTTTTGAGGGATAACAGTGTCACAGTGGGGATGATTAACAAACTCTAACGGGATTTTGTGTTTTTCGGATTTTTTACACTTCTTGTTTCCATATTAGAAAGCTCTTTCTTTTGTATCAAAGTAATACAAGAAGTACATGGTTTCAAAAGCTTATAACAAAAACTAGTGTTTGCTAATCTTGTAGCTGTTTCTTGTCTTTTAAGTTTAGATATCTTACTTCCTAATGGCAAGATGCCTTCCAGACTCCTTCACTACACACATGCTTTTCCCAGTGTAGTTGTGGGAGAATGGTTGGCTAAATCAGTGTCCAAGATCACATCCTTTAACGTCACCTAAGAGCCCTGGTGTTCTCATTGCTTCTCACTTCTTATTCTCATTCTTAGGGTTTTTTTCTTCCCTCCTTCCTTCCTCCCTCTCTCTCTCTCTCTCTCTCTCTCTCTTTCTTAACTGAGTTAATGGCTGTTTCTCTAACCAACATGATGTTTTTAACATACAAAATAAGAAAGCTATAGTCACAGGTAGAAAGCCTAGTGTGGGTGTGGAAAAATTACTAAGTAATGGCGTTTAGACTTAAGACTTACATGTCGTGATATTTTATAGGGCTTTTAGTCTATGAAAGCATGTCTACTGATACAAGAAAAAAAGTGCAATGTTTCCAAATGCAGGGATAGATGACAGTAGTAGGCACTTCCTGTTCCTTCAAGATTGTTGTTTTGAAGAAAGAAAACTGTCCAACATCTTTACCTAATTTTTAGCCTGCTCACTGAAAAGAAGCCCATCTAAACATAATCCCAAAAAAGTCAAGCAGAAAAGAGGTACCATCCACATGAGCTTTAGTAATTATTACTTGAAAATTATTACTTGAAAAATTACTCTCTCTGGGCTAATTAACTGGTTGCATTGTGATAAAGAGGCAAAGGTAACTAAAAGAACAAGTACCCTATTCCTCCCAGCAGTATCAAAAAACCAGTAAGATCTTTCCAAAATCCTCACCCTTTCTTGATTCCTAAATTGGCTATAAAACAGAAGAAAAGGCTACTTGACAAGTGAGTTAATCCTATTTCTTTCACCAAAACACATAGCCTTTCTCTGGACATACAACCGTGCTTCACAAGGACAGCAAGAAACCAGGTTCCTTTTCAAGAGCTTCTGGAGTATTGTCTCACTTAATCTTCCTTATAGTGCTACAAAATACATGGGTGAGATGAGAATAACTTTGGCTTTTTAAAGAGAGGGCTAATTGGTACAACTTTTCCTAAAGGCAGTTGGAGCCATGTATTAAAAATCTTAGGAAATGCATGTAAGTGTGGATTTTTAGAAGCAGTTGGAAAAAGGCTCAAGGGTGCAGATAGTGAAGGTGAGAGTTCATTGCAGTATTGGTGATTGCACGAGGACAGCTTAGTTCATGTGTACCTTCCTACAGGAGGAAAGGCCTAGAAGGACATATGTGCCAAAATGTTAGAGTTGTCTCTAGCTAAGAGATTTCAGTGGTTTAAAGTTGATTTTCTTTCCTTCCTACTTAACTGTTTGTTTTGATTTGTTTTTGTCGTTTTGCAGTGCTGGGGTTTGAAGGCAGGCCAGGCCCTTGCACTTGAAGCAAGCACCCTACCACTTGAGCCACATCCCCAGCTCTTTTGTGTTTTGTTTTGTTTTTGAAACAGCATCTTGCAGCCACCTTTCCCTCAGTTTGAGCTGCCTCAAACTCATGATCTTCCTGCCACTGCTTCCTGACTAGCTGGTGTTGACTGGGATTATAGGCATGCACCACCATGCCTGGCTTTGTTTGTGTTTGTTTTTAATTCAGCAAATGGTTATTTAGCTGTTGCTGTGACCAACCATTGTATTTTCTGAAATGATCATTTATTTCTTGTACAGTTCAAATTGAAAAAAAAAAAAATTGGTGGTACTGATGTTTGAACTCAGTGCTGGATAGGCACTCTGTTACTTGAGCCACACTCCCAGACCAGCCTGGACCATGTTCATCCTGTCTGTTCCTCCCTAGAAGCTGGGATAACAGGCCCAGTTGGTGGTTGAGGTGGGGTCTCACTAACTTATTGCCTGGGCTGGCCTTGCACTGTAATCTTTCTGATATCCACCAAAGAAAGACTGGAGCGTGTTGTGCTGAGGTATTCAGCTGGGATGGTGCTGATGAGAGGTCAGCCCCTGTGTATGAAGCAGGAGTCTTCCGAGGCGGTTCCCTGGTGTCAGATGCCAGTCACCGCTGCACCCTGACTTCTTTTACTCCAAGTAGGAGTGAAGTGAGCATTGGTTCATCTCCAGTGAGGGGAGCCACAGACATGTGTCTTTAATTTCAGGCAATTGCAGGAACAGCAGCGACAGAAGGAGCTGGAGAGAGAGCGACTAGAAAGAGAGAGGCTGGAGAGAGACAGGATGGAGAGAGACAGGATGGAGAGAGAGCGCCTGGAGCAAGAGCAACTGGAGCGGGAGCGGCAGGAGCGGGAGCGCTTGGAGCGGCAGGAGCGGGAGCGCCTGGAGCAGCTGGAGCGGGAGCAGGTGGAGTGGGAGAGAGAGCGCAGAGCGTGCAGCTCCGGTAAGAGTTTGCAGCTTTGCATCCTGTGCGAGCTGGGAGGAGGCTCTGTGGTCAGGTGTTAGGATGTCTTTCACATGTGAGATGCTTGGGGTGAAGCTGTGTACAGTTGGAGGCTATGGAAAATACATAGCAGTGATCTCTGTATCACCTTCTTTTTATTTCTTTATTGCTTTTACTGCTTAGAAACTAAAAGAAAGCTCCAGGGAATTTTTATTCTGGTGTTCTGATTCTGCTAACCTCCTCACAAATTGGCTATAAAATGGAGTGTTTTTGTGGAGACTCTAGTTGGATGAACTTGGGAGAAATGTCCCTCATGAAATTGCCTGAATCATCTCACATGCAGTCTTTAGTACTGTGTAGTAAGAAATTAGCTTGATTATAGTCTGCGGTTTCTGAAGAAGAAATTAAAATAGTAGGTGAAAATACACTCTAAAACTGAGTGTATATTTAACCATTTAAATATATTTTCTAGTATTGTGAAAAGTTAGTGAAAATTACTAAGCCTGCTGGAATTTGTTAAAAGACAATAAAGGTTTAAGATTAGGCTAAAAGGTTGAGGTTAATGTTCATCAAGGAATTCTTTATGCCTTATGCCCTAGGTCAAAAGCCTCAGTGTGGGATTGATTAAATTTTTATTAGTTGGTTAATTGATTGGCTTATTGAGTTAATTCATTTGTTTTTAACTACCTAATTATCTTCTGGAGTTATAGCTAAGAAGACAGACTTTTCCACAAATGAGCATTGAATTCGGAGGTTCCTTGCCCTTTGTAGTAAACGTGTTGCCAGTTTTGCTATTTATTATTTTTTAAAAACAACTAAATTCATTCTTCTATTTATGGCCCTTTTCATGTAATTTTAATGTGCCTTTAAGTGGACTAAGTAATTAAAAAATTAAGGCTACTGCTATCTTTTTCTTACAAAGAATAGATTAATCAATTTATTAATTTACTTATTAGATTAAAACTTATTTCATCCTCTCTGGATCTCAAAATGTAATTACAAGTTAGAGTTTGCTCGAGTGACAGTTACTTGCACATGTGCCTGGTTCTCTGGTACTAACTGTAGTCTGCGTTTGTACATTTTGTCTGATTGCTGGTTTTGTGGCTTCACTAGCTCCCTTTTTCTCTCTCCTTTTTATCCTGTCTTGCTGCTGCTCCCACCTCTGTCCAGCTCCATCTTCAGACAGCTCCCTGTATAGCGCTCCACTTGCTGAGTACTCCAGTTGCCAGCCTCCTTCAGCACCTCCTCCATCATACGCTCCCGTGTCAGAGGCCACTCCTGATTACGCTGTGGCACCTGCTTTGCCACCTCCTTCCACACCCCCTACACCACCCCTACGACACTCGGCGACACGTTTCGCAACGTCTCTAGGCTCAGCCTTCCACCCTGTTCTTCCCCATTATGCTACAGCTCCTCGACCTCTAAGCAAAAGCTCTCGACCTTCTTCTCCTGTGAACACACCCTCTTCTCAGCCTCCATCTCCTCCAATAATGATTAGCAGCCCCCCCAGCAAAGCTATGGGCCCGAGGCCTGTCCTCCCCATCTGTGTCTCTTCTCCTGTGCCCCAAATGCCTCTGTCACCGACAGCACCCAATGGGCTGCTGGACTCTGTAACATGCCCAGTGTCTCCACCGCCTACCTCAGGGCCCACAGCGCCGCCGCCTTCCCTCGCATCACTCTCACACTGTGGACCGCAAGCTTCTCCTCCTCCAGGCACCCCTCTTGCCTCAACCCCCTCCTCCAAGCCCAGTGTTCTCCCTTCTCCCTCTGCAGCTGCCCCTGCCTCTGTGGAGACTCCTCTAAACTCTGAGCTGGGAGACTCCTCTGCTTCCGAGCCAGGCTTGCAGGCAGCCTCTCAGCCGGCCGAGACTCCAGCCCCACAGGGTAAGGCTTTGTTATGGCTGCTGACTGCAGTCACAGCTCACTGCCTAGGAGAATGGGAGGATGGCTGCAGTGGTTGAGCATCTGTGTGCCATGTGGGGTTTTTTCCTTAAAAAAAAAAGCAAAAAGAAGTTAATTTTTTATCCTGTTGCCTCACTTGCACTTGGAAGAGTAATTCTGGGAATTTTCATATGGAACTTTAGGTTTTAGATTCTACTATTTAAGGGTTTCCATACTAAATTTCACTAGTAACACTTTACTCAAGCTCATGTGATCTACCATGAAATAAATATGTGATCTGAGTTGTTTCACCTTCTGGGAGACTTGAGGATCTACCAGGTGTACAGCTGTCATCATTAGAGTTTCCCTGGAGCATGTCTGTCCTTGGGCCCTTTCCACATTGGCCTCTCCTGTGTTGGGCTTTCAGAATGGGTACCAGCTTATACCTGAGGAGTGTCTTGACTTTGCAGGAGGGGTAGAGGGTAGCAGGCTTGGGGCATGGCCCAAATTACAAGTTATGGCAGAAGGGAAACGACTGAGAGTACCAATCTCCAGTTACTCTCCAGCCCTCAACACACACCTTGGGCAACAGAGAAGGGCGGCTGTGGTCACTACATAGGGCTATTTGTGAGTAGAGAAGAACCTGGTTCTGGGGGTGAGGAAGAAGATGTGTAGGAACCTGTTCTTAATGCGGAATACAGGGAAGATTAGAGGATGCTGAAAGTAAATGTGTGTTCTAGCAGTTACATCCTGGCTTTAGACACTCCTTTAGAAGCCTTAGTTCCTAGATGAAGTAATAAGGCTTGTTATCCCTATGAATATTGTTGTTGGCTTACCAAATTTGTTCAAAAGTGGGGTGACAAGCGGGCGCCAGTGGCTCACTCCTGTAATCCCAGCTGCTCAGGAGGCAGAGATCAGGAGGATCGAGGTTTGAGGCCAACCTGGGCAAATAGTTCACAAGACCCTATCTCGCAAAACCCTTCACAAAAATAGGGCTGGTGGAGTGGCTCAAGGTGAAGGCCCTGAGTTCAAGCCCCAGCACCACAAAAAAAGAAAAAAAGTGGGGGTACATTCTGATATGTTTAATTTAGTCTGACAGGGACGGTAGGCAAGAGGCACAGTCAGCCTGCTGAGTCTGACTACCTGCCTAGTCCACCAGAGGCACAACTCTGTGCTCTTCCTTGGGCCATTTATGTGTCCTGTTGTATAGCTACCTGAACTGATGCTGAAAAGTCAGCCACGAGTGCCTGGTCTGCAGGCAGCACTCACTGTGTCCCAAAGCCGCTTCACGAAGTGAGGCATTGGGGTACTAAGCAAATCCGTGTTTACACCCTCTGTGCTTGTACTTCTCCTATATCCCATCTCGAAGGCCAACGCAACTCTGTACTTCAGATTTCATGGTACTTGATCGATTATTTTCTGAGACTTACTTTGAGGTTTTACTTTGTTAGTAAATTCCCTCACTTCAGTGATTCTTAACCCTGCTAACCTTGAATTTAAATGTAAAATATTTTTAAGATACTGAAGTCTGGGACCCACATTCTTAATTCAGGTACTTTGACTGTCTTAGAACAATAAATATCTGTCTTTATTGCAGTAGAATATACCGTCTTAGCACCTAAGGTTTACTTAGATTATTTGGGGTCTTTTATTTCAAATAGAACTGCCATCATACATTGGAGGGGTGTCTGTGTGTTTTAAAGGATGCTTACCTCTCTCCCAAATTTTACAAGTATTTGTTTTTACTCTTAAATCGTCATGGGAAAAAAAATCTAATAGATATCTGTTGTATGTCTCTTACTGAACATTCAAATAGTCATCGATACACTTTGGATTTCTAATTTAGTGTCTTAAAAACCTAATCTAGATTTTAGACATTATGATAAACCACTCCAGTGCAGTGTTTGTGGACATAATTTTAGCATGGCATTGTGTGCCTGCCCTCGTAAACTTACAGCATTTAGCTCTTTTGTTGATGGCTGTGTAACATTTCTTTCTCTCAGGCCTTGTCTTGGGACCACCTGCACCTCCACCCCCTCCGCCACTCCCACCAAGCCCCGCCCAGACTGCAGCACTCCCTCCTCCCCCAGGACCCCCTCCTCCACCTCCACTGCCATCTTCTGGGCCTCCCCCACCACCTCCCCCACCCCCTCTTCCTAACCAAGTGCCCCCTCCTCCTCCACCGCCTCCCGCCCCTCCCCTCCCCACATCTGGATTTTTCTCCGGATCCATGTCAGAAGACAATCGCCCTTTAACTGGACTTGCAGCTGCAATTGCTGGAGCAAAGCTTAGGAAAGTGTTACGGGTAAATACATATCCAATTATGTGTGTCTCACTCTTTCAGAGTATCTAAACATTGAATTCATTACAATTTTGTGAACCCTATGTTACTCACCTTATTGATTAAAAATATCAAAATAATTTAAATTTACAGAAAAGTTACAAGACTAGTGTAAAGAATTTCTGTGAATCCTTGAGCTGAAGGAATAGCTCAAGTGGTGAGTGCCTGCCTAACAAGCTTCATGCCCTGAGTTCAAACCCCAGTGTTGCCAAAAAGAAAAAAGGATTTCTATGAACCCATCTATCTAGATTCATGAGTTAAAATTTTACCAATATTTGCCTTTATTTTCATTGTGTATGTTTCCTTCTATACACAGTGTTTGAGAGTAAGGTAGAAACATGCTCTTATTTTCCTAAATATCTCAGTGTCTATTCTGTAAGAGCAAGGGCATTCACCCATATGGCCACAGTATAATTACCGAAATCAGGAAATTTAAGATTAGTGGAGTATGATAATCTGCAAGTGTATTCAAGTTTATTTTGAAATGTCTGATATGCAATCAATGTTTTGCTGGCAATTTTTTCCTAGTTCAAGGTCACCTGATAACTTTTAGTTTTAATGGCTCTTAATTTACTCTAATATGTGACTTCTTTAATCTGTCATGATTTTGATTTTGACATGGGAGTTGCACAGTGTTGTTCTGTCCCATTACTGGGACTTTGACAAAACTCCCACTGATAGATAAAGCCAATGTTATTCTCTGTTGGCTCTTAGGTTAAAAAAATAACATTTGAATATTTCTTTGAAATTAATTCTAGCATGTCCTGTGTGGGGATTGTTTTGTTTGGGGATTTTTGGTGATACTGGGGTTTGAACTCAGGTCCTCATGCTTGGTAGGCAGATGCTAAACCACTTGAGCCATGCCCTAGAACCGTGTCCTTCTGTTTTGAATGTAATATATCAATAAGCATAGTTTTCTGACACGTGGAGTTATTACGTGTGTGTTCTCATTAAGGTGGAGGACGTCTCTTTCCCAAGCGGAGGGAGCACCGTCAGTGTGAACTCAGCCTCATCCAAAACAGATATAGTTCGTGGAAATGGACCCCTTCCTCTAGGGGGTAGTGGTTTAATGGAAGAAATGAGTGCCCTGCTGGCCAGGAGGTGAGAAGTTTCCTTGTAGTGGACACATCCAGAATTAAGAGAAACTTGTTGACTTTATTCTGAATATATAACTGAACTGGGTGCAATTCTTTCCTCTTAGAGGAGGTTTTATGCTAAGAGTTAGATGACCTTTTTTACCCAATTTGCTTCCTTTCTAGGAGAAGAATTGCTGAAAAGGGATCAACAGTAGAAGCAGAACAGAAAGAAGACAAAAGTGTGAGTGAATAAAGAGAAAAGAGCCTCCTGCACTGTAAAATGGGAAAGTCAGGCACAGCTTACTCAAAAAACCGTGTGCCATATGGGCTGGTGGAGCAGCTCAAGTGGTAGAGCACCTGCGTAGCAAGCAGGAGGTCCTGAGTTTGGCCCCAGTACCAAAAAAGAAAGAAAGAAAATTAAAAGAGAATCATGTCAAAAATTGTTTAATTTAAACTTACATTTATTTACTTTTTATACTAATATTTTTTAATGGCTTATTTTATTTAAGGGTTACTCATGAGATTTTAGGAGCATTCTTAACAAAACAGGCTGAATGTGTGGAGTTAGTTCTGTTCTTGCACCTACCTTTAAATGAGTGTGTGACTTCTTACTAGTTTTTTCATCTCTGAGGAGTTGGCATTAATGTAAGATGAAGGATTTATATGAAGTCCACAGGGTTCATGCTTCACCTGTGGGAGCCCTGTGGATATGGTTGTGCCCTGTGGCAGTCTGACCTTCCTCCTTGGTGGCCTGGCAGAGCCCTCTGCTCGCTCTTGTGGTGTTCAACATATAGTGAAACCATCCTCCCTGCTCCACTTGGCCACCTTTCCTGCCATTCCTCACATCTGCCTCCTGTCTGGCTTCTGAGCACTGTCTAGTGCGGCTCACGTCAGAGAAGGAGCTATGGGGAAATGTGAGAAGGAAGGAGTCTGAGCTGTAATGGAAGGGAGAAAATGCAGGTGAAGAAAAAAGTGAGGAATGGCAGCAAGACAGTGAGGGGCATGGAGAGCAGTGACTGCCTGTGGCAGCGGGTATCCAGCGGGTGCATTTTTACACCTGTGTTTCTGTACATTAGGAAGAATCGGAGCCTGTAACTTCTAAGGCCTCTTCAACAAGTACACCTGGTAAGTCCAAGAGAAATATTTTAACATTTACAAACTTTGTGTAAATGTTAAAACTCCCCAGTTAAAAATTCCTCCTTTTGCATGTTTGGACCAAGTGATAGCTTGGTCACTAAAATGCCAGAGTTCTTTGTTCACATTGAGTGTCTTGTGGTCACAGAGGCCTCTGTTGCTTTCTTCCTGATAACATGAGGTCTGTTAAAATTCAGCAATTTTGCTCATGGCTGTCTTGGGAAAAAATTATTTTTACACATGCGTATTGCCAATGATTTGAGGTTATTTCACTGAAACAAGGAAAGTACAGTGTTGGACAAAGGGACATACTTTTAATCTTAACAGTAAAAATTAAATGAGCATATTAGCACTGCAGTGTGTTTCAGAACATAGGCAAACTGAGAAGGTTGTCATTTTAATTGCTCATTTAGGCGATGCTGATAATTAAGGAACTGAAAGCTTCTAATTTATAAACTGGAATAATCTCTTAAAAACTTTTGAGAGCCTGGGTGCCAGTGGCTCATGTCTGTCATCCTGCCTACTTAGGAGGCAGAGATCAGGAGAATCACAGTTCAAAGCCAGCCTGGGCAAATAGTTCACAAGACCCTATCTAGGAAAATTCCATCACGAAATAGGGCTGGAGGAGTGGCTTAAGCAGTAGAGCACCTGCCTTGCTAGCATGAGGCCCTGAGTTCAAACCGAAGTACTAAACAAAAAAAAAAAAAAAAGCTTTTGGGAAACATTGCTTAAAATGCTAAAATTTCTGACATTGAGAACTCTTGGATATAGAATATTAGCAAGGTACATTTTCCTGGAGGTATTAAGTATTACATTCAAGAAGGGTTTTTGAGGTCATTAATGTCTACATGTCTGTCATCATGTTTGCTCAGAGACTGAAGTTAGACTTCTCTTTTCTTTTGTATTTGGGGGAGGTGAAATGACATGATAAATGTGATAACATGTTTGTAACCTACATAAGTTTTATCTTTATGAGTCAAAACATTTTTTTTTATTTTTGGTGGCACTGGGGTTTGAACTAAGGGTCTCATGATTGCCAGACAAGCACTCTACCACTTGAGCCACACCTCCAGCTAAAAATTTATTAAATATACTGTTACTGGTATCATAGATGCTTTAGAATCAAATCCTATTTTAGGCCACAGTCTTTAGAAGAATCATAAATTCTCTCCCAGAGAGCAGTATCATGTTCATGCGGATTGACTGTGATTTCAAAGTGTTTTTTAATTCCCTGGCATCATCTATGCGCCCTGTGTTGAGAATTCCTTGTCTGATATATCTCTGCTGATTTCACATATGAAAAACTGAAGCATGAGTTTGGCGTGTGTTCTTGTGTATCCCACATGTAAAGTAGACAATTCATTCAGAATGGCTTTAGGCTTCTTTTCAGTTGTTCCATTCAGTTTTTAAAATTGACATTGTGTGTCATACACTTGACAAGCCAAAAAGATGTGAAAGATAAAGGCCCTGAGCCCAGGACTTCATAGTCCACTACCAAGATGAGGCACACACAGGGGAAAGTTAATCTTTTCCAGCCACATGCTGAGTGCTAGTGTCAGAGAGGGAAGAGGTCACGTGGAATCACCTGGGCCATCTTTGTGAAGAAGAAGAACACATATGGGGAATAGAGTATGTAGTTTTGCAAATGTGTGGAGTTGAAGTTGAATAGGAAGAGACCAGGAAATAGTAAAAAACTATTTTTTGAGGAGTATTGGAAAAATGGGTTGTCAAGTAAGAAGCAAACTTTGAAAGCCTTTATAAAAGTTCAGGAGCTTAGTCTTTACCCTGCAGGTATTGAATTGACATACTGTAGTCAGCTGAAACTGTTGTAGGCACATTGAAATGGTACTTATGGTCATTGTGATGTAGAACTTGGGGGACTGTGTTCAGAGACCTAATTGGGAAGGTCTGCTAGAGCCAGTGGAGACCCCCTGAAGACAGTTCTCAGCCTCTGCCCTTTCTCCTGATGTACACTGGCACCCGTCATTCCCTCTGTTCATTCTCACAGAGTTGGGGGATAGGAGAGGTCTTCCTCAGAAACAGAGGAGCCCTTTTAAGATGAAAAGAGGGTTCTGGGTTGGCTAATTGAGATAGGACCTCAGCCACCTGTTAAATAGATGGTAGCATTCACTGCATCTTACCTGCTTTGGAATTAGTTCCTCATCCCTCCACCTGTCTCTTTTGGTGGCAGTGCCTGATGACTTCTTCCTGTCTAGTACTCTCATCAGGTCTTCCCTCTTTTAACCTGCTTGGGGTGGTGTATTGGATGTGTTTATGATTCTGCCCATCCTGGATGCCTTCTGATTACTTGCATTCTGGATCTTGCCACTATTGTGGGGGTCATTGAGAATGTGTTAGCTGTTAGTATACAAAAGAGGGAATGAGAAAGAGTAATAAAAAAGGAAGGAATTAAGTGATGAGGAGTAAAGCAAGATGACTGTAAGGCTCCTCCCCTAGTTGCTGCATGCAGCAGAAATTAGAACCAGAAGCAGGGATTCCAGGGTGATTTTAGTTTTGAATGTGTGGGTCTTGAAGTGGGCTATAAAGCTTCATACCTGAGAATGTGCAGAAGCCAACTGGGGGCCGCATGCAAACCCAGAGCAAAGTTTCTTAGTTGAAATCATACAGTGAGGTCACAACTCATATATAGACTTGACTTTCATGTGGCTCAAATGTTTTTCCTCCACAACAAGATTCTGTTCATGATTGCATCCCGTCTTGGAATGAAGCAGTCAGATTAGAAAAAGAGCTCAAGAGACTGGAGCCAGCCAGCAAGCCACTACAGAATCTTGTAAAAAGAGTATAGGGTGAGCCAGGCCCCATGGCTCACACCTTTGTTATCCTGGCTACTCAGGAGGTGGAGATCAGGAATATCCTGGTTGGGGGTCAGCCTGGGCAAAATGTTAATGAGACCCTCATCTCAACCAATAAGAAGCTGGTACATGCCTGTCATCCCAGCTACTTGAGAATTATGAAAATAGGAGGATTGATGTTCAGCCACCATGAACATAAACTCAAGATGCTATTCTGGGGGGAAAAAAACTGAAGCAAAAAGGTCTGGGGGTGCTTCCAAATGGTAGAGCACCTGCCTAACAAGCAAAAGACCTTGAGTTCAAACCCTACTACTGCCAAAAAGAAAGAAAAACAGCTTAGGGTGAACTTACATTTCACTGGAGTTGGCTGCTAAATCCCAAGAACTTATTGTTTAAGAATCAAGGACACACAATGAAATTGCAGATTCTGAAATTCATTGTGAGGTGTTTGAATTCAGATGCTGTGTGGAAGCACACAAACACATTCGAGATTACATGGCAGTGGTAAACACTGGCACTGAAAGTAGTTCAGGATAGTAATGCTAGCCTGTTCTAATTCAACCTTTCTAATTCAGATTATCTTCCCTTTATTCTTCTCAGGATTATTAGAGAAACTTCTTACATTTGCTTTATAGAACTATAATATTTAGAGTTGCAGTGTAAGGTGTTTTTTTAAGAAAAGTTGCTGTTTTCCTATTTTAAGGTCTAAAATTGTGTGAATTAGAATCCTTATTCAAATTAATGGTTAAGATTTAAATTTCTTATTTATCTGTTGTACTTCTGCATAGATAGGTGTGATGGTATTTTAATATGTTGTTTTACATGATTCTGGAAATATACAGGGTACTTAATAATACTTGTTCCTATTTTTGAAGAACCAACCAGAAAACCCTGGGACAGAACAAATACAGTGAATGGTAGCAAGTCACCTGTCATCTCCAGGTACGAGTCTCTCTAAGCTTTATATTACATGTGCATCTATCTAAAAAGAAATCAACACATTTTATCCTAGGAAAATTGTAGTCATGAGTTACAACTTACACAGAAGTACGTACAGCACCCCGTAACCTATCACTAGACAACCCCCAAGCCCATTACACTTGTACTAGTGATTGTCCAATAAGTTCTACCCTACATTTATTAGTTAGGTTGTCTGAAATTTTAAGGTAGCTGTACTTATTTTGAAAAGTTCAAATAAAAAGAAAGACTGGCACGACATTACCAGTTGCGTTAGCATTTTACAATCCCATGTTACTTCGTAGTTTGAAAGCAGTCTGTGAGTGCTGCACCATTCTGAATACTTGAGCACATTCCAGAGTCCCCAGGACATCTCCTTACTAACCAAAACACCTTATGCTTCTCACAAAGTGTAACATTGAACGTCCTTCATAGGTTTGTTTATTTGTTCTTTTAACCACAACTTTCGGAAGGAAAATTTTAAACTGAAATTCAACTGGAGATTAAAGACAATAAGAGGAGCAAAATAAAACTTAAAACTTTGAATTTGTACTGTAGAAATGTGCTGTATCTCCGTTGAAACTCCTAATATAATCAGGTTAGAAAGATGGTGCCCAGAAACAAGAACAGTGAGTGAACATTTGTGCAAGTTGCGTGTGAACGCTGTTAAGCAAACTCAAGTGTTCAGAAGTAAGTCAGGCATATTTTATTATCATGACTGAATTTATACCACAGGTCTTGAACATACATGAAACTTTTTCTTGACTTATGAAACAATTTTTAAAAAGGCTCTTTTTCACAGGAAAAAAAAATTTAAGGTATGTACTTACAGACTAAAAAGACTTTTTTACCTTTTTTTCTGAGCCTGTTGGTCTTATTTTTGCCTCATGAAAAGCAAGCTTGATTCTAATTATAGAAATTTAATTTTAAAAATAGCACAAGGGTAGACATCATATTATCAAGGCCTGTTCTGTGCTAGACCACTAAATTTGGATTGGTTTTTGTGTGGTTCTTTGTGCTGGCAGGAAAGATTTGACAATGACACAGTTGTTCTAAGTTCCACAGAGACAGAGACAGGGGCCTCTTGAACGTCCAGGAGCTTTTTGTTTCTCCGTGAATGAGTGAGTGACATACACGAGCTGGGAGAGGAACGCAGCTGGTTTCAGGAGAGCACGTCTGTATTCCTCACATGGAGTGACTGTGCGACTCGGCTCTTCCTTTAGTGGCACATTCTTACTCTGCATCAAGTGCATAGCAGAGAGCAGAACTGTGATGTTCCCTGTGTCCTTTGGAGATGTTAGTTGTGACAGGAAGAATTCTTTCTCCATTCTGCCACCTCCCTACATTCCTACTTCATTGGTAGGAACTCCATAGTGAGCTTGCTGACACTAAGTCTGACTCGATGGCAGAAGTCATATCTGGAAAGGGACTTTGGAGAGGTTCTCCAAATGGAGTATGCTCCTTGACTTGTTCCTTCTCATTTAAGTGAAGGAAAAATATTCTTTGAAAGATTTTTTTTTCAGACTGCTAAGGTAGAAGTTTAATAGTAAGTGCTTAAAAGGTCACCATTTTGAAAAAACTTTTATAGTGAAGAGGTGAATCTTGACAGTTGTGCCAGTTCTGACATCCGAGCATTTCCTGACCACGCATATACCTTTTGATTTGATCCAACTACCGATACATACGTTGTAAAGTTTCACTCAGAGCAATTGTAAACCGTAAAATATGCTTACAAGACTAAGGACTGTGTTGCTGTGCTTCGAAACTGTCTACTCTGTTCCTTCCTAAAGCAAGTATGTTGACCATTTCTTACTTAAGTATGCTGTAGCCTTGCACTCTAGTGAAACTACCCATTTCTCTTTGGGCTATCCATATCAAAATAAATTAGTGGTCAGATTAGTTGACACCCTGAAATATATGTGAAATGCCACACTAAGTTGTGTTTATTAAGTGAAGATGTTAGAGAGGAGAGTAGAGCAAGAATGGGAGGATGAGAACACTTTGAGGCCTGGCTGGAATGTGACACTGGAAAGTTGGTGAATTCTTTCTGTGAGTTTATTAAGAGTTTGCTGATCTTACTCACCAGTGGAGTGAACTCCTTCTGTGCTGGAGTAGCGTGAATCTTGTATACTTGAATGCAGTGATTTCTGTGTCTGCTTTCTGTTACTATTCACTGTAATAGAAGTGTGTTTGGCTATGTTTTGATACTTGATGAGCAGCAGGTAGGTTTACTGTGCCTGCAATAAGGAGCCCACTGTGTAAGGACTTCTTAAAGATTTTCTGTAACTATCAAATACCAAGTATCCTCACACAACTCCAGGTAGTCTCAAATCTCTTCTTTTTTGTTGGGTAAGATAAGTATTTTAAGGGTCGTTCTTGTTTTGTTCACAATATCTAAAAAGCCTATGAATAGTAACATTACGAGAATTGTCTCTGAAGTTGTTTATACACCTTTAAATGGTTTCTCCCTTCATAGACGGGATTCTCCAAGGAAAAATCAGATTGTTTTTGACAACAGGTCCTGTGATTCATTGCACAGGTATCCTCCTGCTGTGGCTTTGTAATTTGAGACTTTTACATACTTGTCCAGGACAGGGCTGAGCTTTTTCTACCTGGATTGGTAATCACCACAAGGAGACACATTTAGGATCAAGGCTTTCAATTTTAGCTTTATTTTTGAACACAAATAAAAACAAAACCCTGCCATCACTTGGTAGTGGGATTAGGATAAATGTAAATGGTAAACATCAGAAAGACTAGAATGGAAACTCATATATTGCCTAGGTTGTTTATAGCTTTAGCATTTTCTTTTAAAAGCTGTTCTCTTCATGATGATGAGACCGAGCTTTTGGGAAAGTGCTAGCTGTTGCTGGAGCACAGGACACATTATAGCCATGGTTGTGGATGTGCCCTGGGGACAGTCATTGTTCCCCAGATGTTTTGTCCTAGATTGCACATCTTTAACCTCCTGAGCAGATGTGTTTCTGCAATGAGCCCTGTTCCACCATGTCTTGAAGTAAGAAACCTCAAGATACGAATCACCGCTGGTGGAATGGCTGAAGCAGTGGAGCGCATGCCTAGCAAGCGTGAGGCTTTGAGTTCAAACCCCAGTACCACCAAAAACAAACAAATAAATAAAAAGATACGAATCACCAAGGGCTAGAGTGGGACTCGGTGGTAAAGCTTGTGCTGAATGAAGGCTCTGGGCTTATCTCTACCAAAAAAGTGTTGTGGGTATGTTTCTTTTAATTAAAAAATTGACGGGACTGGCGGCATGGCCCAAGCAGTAGACTGCCTGCCTCACAATTGCGAAGCCCTGAGTTCAAACCCCAGTACCACCAAAATAATTTTTTGACAATTAAAAAAATCCTCAAATACTTCTCAACTATTCGTAGAATTAATTTGGCAGAAGAACTTAAATATTGTAGTATAGTTATTCTAGAGGCAGCACTCCCTTTATAAAGTAACAAAAACCACTGATAAACCCTCATTTTGTTTTCAATTATGTTGAAAACCCATAGGTTTTTAAATAACTGAAATAAAACTGGGCATGGTGGTTTACCATGGGCTACGTGGGCGACCTGGCAATACCCTATCAGACAGACAGACAGACTGATAGATAGCAAATATATTAATTATTCATGATACTTGATATGTCCATGTTATTCTGAACATCTGTGTTGTAAAATGTATGTTAAGCATTTTGGCCATAAGTAGGCGTTCTGTAGTCAGACTCTGGTCACATTCTTACTTGCTCTAGTGTTTTCATCCATTCATGACCAGAACAGCTGACAAGTTTGTCAGCCAGATAAATCTCCATAAAATGTTTATATTGCAGCAGTGAAATAGGTTTTTTTTCTGCTTTTTTGAGGTAGATTAGCTGTTCTGAACAAAAGATTAAGAAAATTCAAGAACATAGAAAAATAGTATCAAACAATGAGTCTTCTCAGTTTTCTTACCACTTTCACAGTGTCTCTAGAATAACGTTAAAACTTTTTTTTTTTGGTAAAGAAAAGTGGTGATTGCTTCTTTCCTTCAGTATGAAAAGTTCCCCCCTCGAGTTAATTCTTATGATGGTGGTGGTGGTGGTGGTGGTGGTGGTGGTGGTGGTGGTGGTGGAGGATTGCATGCTAGCATGTATTAAATTTTTTAAGAATTGCATGTTTCCACAATTATTTACTATATGACACGATATCTTAATTGTTAAATAAGAATGGGTCTATTAACAATTCAGAAGCAGAATATAACTGTTTGTATGAATTTCAGATGTATTTTATAGGAGAATATACCTAGCTAGTTGTACCAATGAAAGTGAACAATAAAAGAAAAGCAGAGTAAAGACTAATTTAATTCTGGTGAGCAGGAACAGATAGTGTGAGTACATGAAGTTCAGTGTGCCAGCTGTCAAGAATGTTTACTAGACCTGACTGTACCAGGACTTTTGCATCCTGAGGGTCTTGGTGAATCCTGACTGACTACAGAATTAAGTGGCCTCCCCAGCAAAGGCAGTGTGTCCCACAGAGGACAGGAAGTATTCACATGTGCTCTCCTCTCCAGTGCCTAGCTCAGTTCTGACTACTAAGGTTTCCCCAAAGTTCCTATTTTCCTTTGTTCATAAAAGCAGATACCTAGTAAAGGAAAATTGACTTGGTTCATGATGACTTTGTAAGCAGTAATATGTTTCAGTACTAAAGCAAATTAACTCAGTATTTTATCTTCATGAACAACACATATGGGTTTCAATTATTGTATCTTTTATGAATAATTAAATTAGAACTTTAAAAAAGCTACATTATTGACTCTTGGTTTAGATTTCTAATATTGGTACTCTGCAAAATTGAAAATGAGTGATTTGACTCTTGTTTTCAAACTATATTGACTTATAGCCCATAAAAAGTGGTCACCTCCTATACTAAACCAGAAAATAAAGGTTATTCCAGTCAAAACTTCAGGATTGGGGGCTGGAGACATGGCTGAGGAGATAGAGCACCTGCCTACCAAGTGGGAGACTGACTACAGTACCACCAAAAAAAAAAAGAAAGAAAACTCCACTGAAGATTTTCTCTTATTACCAGAACTGGCATGGAGCCATGGCTGGAACCTTTGTTTTAAAATATGGCTAACCTAACTCTAAGACTTACTTCTCCTGTAAAATGTTTAATAGAAACTAAACTGTTGAACGTGCAATAATCATTGGCAGCTGCTGGCTTTTGACAGTCTGGCATTTACTTTTTTAAAGAAAATAGTTTAGAGAAGACCTGAAACATACCAGTGTTCTTGTTATTTTAATGCTTGAGGTGAAATAAAGTATATACAAAGAAATCATGTTTACTAAAAGGCTTTCTCCTGTAAACCAACGCATAGAATTTGTAAACTGATTTGTGTTACAGTAAGATGTTCAAGCTTTTGTTTTTCCTTCCATTGGCTGCCGGATACTTAGGAGAAAGTGAGATTGTTGTTGGGTCCCGTTTGGCATGCCCATCATCTCGTCCCAGAGAGTGCGGTCTTCTGCTCTACAAGAAGTCTCACCATCTTACCATCTTTTTCTAGTTTATTTATAAGTAACTGAAAATAATGAGTAGAGTGAAAAACAGTTTCTCTTCTAATACTACAATTTCAAGTTAACTTTTTAAAAAATGTATAGAAATCTGGTGTTGGGTCGATTAATTTATAATTACTTATGAAATTTAATTTGTACAGACCCAAATCCACACCCTCATCTCAACCCAGTACCAACGGAGTCCAGACAGAAGGCCTTGACTACGACAGACTGAAACAGGTGGGCGCTCCGTGCAGCACCTAAACCCCTCTCATTTCCTGGGTTTTTTTTTTTCTTTTCCCTTTGGTACTGGGGCTTAAACTCAGGGCCTACATCTTGCCACTCTGCCAGCACGTTTTTGTGAATGGTTTTTTCTAGATAGGATCTCTTGAACAATTTGCCTGGGCTGGCTTCAGACCTTGATCCTCCTGATCTCTGCCTCCCAAGTCACCATCATTGCAGATGTGAGCCACCGGTGCCCAGCTTTGTTTCTCTTTTTTAAAATGCCTCGCACACACATCTGGCATGCTTCCTGGAGCTGTGTGTTAAGATGTTTTATATAGACTAAATAGTAGCATTTGTGCCATGTTACTCTTTTCATATCATCATTTCTGGTTCAGAAAGCTCACAGAAGGTCCAGCATGGTACAGGATAAGTTTAAATGTGAGCAGCTGTGAGAAGGAAACAATGGCAAAAACAGACCTAGAGCCCTACTCTCAGGAAATTCTAAAGGGATGTAGACTCTCAGATGCTCTGCTTTCTCAGAAATGGCAAAAGCTTTGGCCTCCAGCACAGTTGCGCTTCAAGGAATTCATACGAGACAACTAGTGCAAACCACCATAGAAGCATGCCAGCATGTGGTGGGCTTAGAGGCTCTGCAGCCATCAGGGAACACTTCTGTGTTAGGGAGACAGGTAGCAAAGCAGGTTGTGCAGTTGTCTTAATTTTGTAAGAGAAAAGATACTGTTCATATTTTGGATACATATGTATTGTATTTAATACATACATTCTCAAGAAAAAGTAATGGGCAATAAAATGTCTTACTTCTTCTGGGCCCCATAGCTCCTATAACACCAGCTACTCAGGAGGTAGAGATCAGGAGAATCACAGCTGAGGCCAGCCCAGACTAAAAGTTATTGGGACCCCATTTCAATCAACAAGCCCAGTGTAGTGGCATGTTTCTGTGATCCCTCTACACAGGAGGCATGAGTAGGAGGGCTGCAATTCAAGGCTGGCTCTGGACAAAAATAAATAACTAAAGCAAAGAGAAAATGATGGGAGTGTGGCTCAAGTGGTAGAGCACTTGCCTTGCAAGCATGAGGCCTTGAGTTCAAATCCCAGTACTGCCAGAAAACCCAAAAACTTAGAAAAGGTGAAATAATTTTTACTATAAGGCTAATATTTATACAGCAAAGCTATACGAAAAGTTACTGGGTTTTGTAATTTAAAAAGGAAGCGTGTATGGTCACAGATAACCAAGTTTTGAGCCTCAATTCCCTCAGCAGTAAGACAAAGGAATTAAACAGACTGACAGTCTTCACCTCTTTGTAGTCATGAAAAGATTTTTCTTTAATGAACCTTAAAAGAGCCATTCGATTTTTCCTGAGATGAACATTTGAAAGTCACATAATTTAAGACATCCTTCCAAAGCTAGCTGTTCTTTTCACTCATTAGCATGTGTCACTGTCACAGCCCTTTGAGCTTGGAATGCATAACTCACGAAGGAGATCCAGTGTGTCACTGTCAAATGGAAGCAGAATGTGAGCTACGTAGATTTTTACTGTTTTTCTAGTGGCCGCATTGAACAAATAAACAGGTGACATTAATATTTTATTTAACCTAATGTATTAAAAATAAAATGATTTTGATACACAGTCTACAATTCTAAAGAATTACTTCACATTATTTTTTTCTGCCTGACAGCACGCTCGCCTCATTTCAAGAGCTCAGCAGCCATGAGCGGTGCTGCTCACTGTATTAGTGTGGATCCAATAGGGCCATCTCCTTGTCCCCTCCCAGAGGAATGGTGGATGTCTTCAATTACAGTTTAAGTGAGAGGACTGGGGAGAGTCCTAAGAAATCCCCCACTTCAAACCAGGTGACACATTTGCTGACAGCTGGCTGTCTAGTGACATCTCCCTCCTTGAAACTCCTCTGCGTTCTCGAACAGCTGCCAGAGGACTGAGCTACAAAAGTGGAGCCATATCTTTCTAGAAACTGTCCAAATCCCATCTCTCACAGGAGATACTTGGTTTTAGACAGCATTCTATTTCACATCTTGCTGGCTAGAATTAGACAAAAATTTAGACGAAATTTACCCAAGCCAGTCTTGTAAGAAATAGAATTGAAGCTGGGTGTGGTGGATCACCTCTGTAATCCTAGCTACTCAGGAGGCAGAGGTCAGGAGGATTGCGTTTTGAAGCCAGCCTAGGCAAGTTATTTTCGAGGCCCTATCAAAGAAGAAGAAAAAAAACCTTCACGAAAAAGGGCTGTGGAGTGCCTCAAGTTGTAGGCCCTGAGTTCAAACCTCAGCACGCAAAAGAGAGAGAGAGAGAAATAGAATTTGACTCTGGGAACAAAACTGAGCATCGTATTTCATAATGTCTGAAGATTTTGTTTTCTGATGCTTTTCTCTGTTATTTTAGGACATCTTAGATGAGATGAGGAAAGAGTTAACGAAGCTAAAAGAAGAACTCATTGATGGTAAGTATGGGCACAGTGCTGCCCTCAAGCCGCACCAAGCAACCACTCCCCTTCAAGCCTTCTCCTGGGGTCCTGCCCTCGCTTTGCTGAGGACTAAAGGAGGAGCTTTCCCCTCAGAATGAAAACTAGTTGTAAAAATAGGAATACACAGTCCCCAAGTACTGAGTGTTGTCTGTTAGTCCATGGAAAACCAGACAGGCAGATTTTTCTCTAAGATCCTGTACTCAGTCACCCCACTGGGCCCTCCCTTATTTTTGAACTCACAGAATCAGCATTCTTATTTTATATGCAGAGGGAGAAAATAAATAAATACGTACATGTTTAAGAATTACCATCTTTGTTACATTAAAACAAAGATCTGTACAATGAGAGATTTATAACTGACTTTGAAAGCAACTTTTGTTTCTTAAGAACTCGTCACTCCTATATCACTTTATAACTTTGGATACTTTTTCTTCCCTATCATAGCAATCAGGCAGGAACTGAGCAAGTCAAATACTGCATAGAGAAGCAAACTAAAGAGAGATAGGACTTTAATCTGGAGAAAAACAAAAATTCCTACAAACAACTGTCAGCAACAACCCCCTACAATTTTGTGAGCTGTAAGAAGAAAATGGAGACAGACAGGAGGGAAAACAGACGTCCTCTGAAAGCCTGCAGACATTATGACTGGCAATCAGCTGCTTCCCTCAGTTTGCTGATTTTTTCTGACCTTTACCACAGGATGGAAGAGAAGTTGTGTATAAGTCTCCTGTAACATTTATGCAGAAAATACCAAACCCATCAGGCAAGATCACCGTGCATTGAGATATTTTCGTGTTAAAATAAAACCACACATTTTCCCACAACCCATTACTAAAATAAAGAGGAGAAAGGCTGTGCAGTTTTTCTTTCAGAAGGTGCTGTGGAAGAACTTAGCAGTTCTGCTATTGTATTGTAAATGCTTCTCTCAGGTTTGTCTTCCTATCGTATTTGATATTCCATGAATAACGGAGATAAGACCATAAGATACGGAACAGGTGGAGTTAGTTGTGTGTGCTCTCAAAGGGTAATGTTCGTAGAGTGTCCAAAAATGACTGGTCTGCTTGAGGAATTTTAGAATGATAGGAAGTATCTCGAGTTAGCCTTCATGCAGTTTTGTAGTTTAAACTTAAATTCATCCAGAATTTAAAGATTTAGATGCCTTCCTAAATTATACAATGCTTTACCAAATCTATGACTCCTCTGTAACAAACCAGTGGTCAAAAGAAAAAAAGCGTGTTGTAGATTTACTGTAGGTTTTCAGTCTTTTTAGATTTATGCATGTGGGTGTTTTTATAATGTAATTACAGTCACCACACAGCTAGCTTTTTAATTGCCGACAGTGATGCATGTCATACTAACATGTCGTGCCTTTCAAGGCCTAGTCCCAGGGAAAACGTTTTTTAGAGAATTGGGCAGTGGGAGGAAGGGAAGGAATAACTTTTTTATTTAAAGTTAGCTTCTGCACTATCTTTTTTTTCTCAATTATCTGCATGAATAATAAGAAACATTTTGTGAGTTTAATTGGTAAATATGTTAACACGACCAAGTACTTAATGTTTTACGCCATGTCTTCAGCTGTTTATATTTAACCAGTAATTTCCATGGTCTGAAGCATGACTCTCAGCTTCACATGAATCACATCTTACTGTGGAACTCAAAAGTTAGGCCACTGAACTTGGCAGTTGTTATTACCTGGGTCCCTACAGGTGCTCAGGTGTGTGTCCCTGAGTGCGGAGCTGCCTTGAACTTAGGGTGAGAACAATGGTGGCAGCAGTCAGTCACAGACATCACCAGACAGGGAAGCCCGGGGGGAGCTCTGCAGTCCTTTATAAACAAGTGAACCTAGGTGGTGGGAAGGAGTGGCAAGGCTGCCACCCTGGGGCTGTATGCACGTGCTGTGTTGTGTGTGATCCCCTCCCTTTGCTTTGTAACTGGTGAGATTAAAGGGGGAGAAATCCTGTGTGTTGTAATGGTAACTTTTGGGAAATAGGAAATGAGAAATTCTCAAGCTGTCCATCTTGATTTATGCTTGGGTTGTTATGTGCCATAATTGCTTTGAGATCTTTGGTTATTAGAACTTCTAGAATTTTGAAGAGAGAATCCACTCCATCTGCTTTGTTGATTTCTCACATCTCAGTCCTAAGATACAGCTTGTTGGCAGTAGTTTCCTAAATACTGCAGGTGCCGCCATCACCACTATGGAGAAGTTGAGCGAAGGAATCTCTCTTCCTTTGTAAAATAGTTTCTGTTTCTGTAGAAACTTCATCTTCAGATTAAACTGTGATGGATGAGCTATCATAATTCAAGTATGCAGTTCTTTTTTCTATCAGTAGTCCTTGTCATACAGTAGTAGTAAAGACATTGAAAAGATGCAGCAAGCCTATGCGTCCCTTTCCTCCCCATGGACGGAGGCGTTTCCATCCTGACCGTACTTTCGGTTATGCAGATACGTGGGTAATGTAAATGTTGATGCTCCCTGTGAATCTGGCAGAAACAACTTTTGATTTTACTGGGTAAGTTAAATGTAGTCTATAGTAGCTACAGTACTGGGTACAAATGGTTCAAAGTAAGATAAAAGTGGGGCTGCAGGGGTGGCTCAACTGGTAAAGTGCCTGCCTAGCAAGTGCGAGGCCCTGAGTTCAAACCCAAGTACTGCCCCCACCAAGAAAAGAAAGGTCAAAGTAAGACAAAAAACTAAAAAAAAACAAAAAAAACCTAAATCTTAAAAAACTGGTTTATGCACTAAACATTTTGTGCCTTGGTCTAACATTAACATGATGTCTGTAAAAATGACAAAAAAAGAATCAGTGTTGAGTCATGCTATAGTTTCCATCATTTTGCATTATCCAGACTGCAACATGTGTTCCTTCCAGGAAGCCTGATGGAATTACCCTGCACATTTTCTGTCATGCGTGACAGTCATTGTTAGAGATTTCAGTAATTAAAACCAGAAACAAACTTAACATTACTTTCTTTTATCAAGACCATGTCCCTTGGAATCCCATGATTACATTGGCTTTTGTGCTCTTGTGTGTTGATGTCTTCAGCTGAGTACAGTTTAGTTATCCTTTTAACTGCAGGAAGGCACTGCTCTCCTCAACACTGTGATCTGACCTGTGACAACTCTGTATCATACACTCTGTAAATGGCTAGCAAGTCAATTGCAAACAAACTGAATGTACAAATCTTAGCGCTGGTGCTGAAATCTCTTCAGAATGGTCATCATGGCCTAAATGTTTGTTTAAAAATTTGCAAGCCTCAAGTGTCAATCAAAACTGAAGGTGAAACGCTGATGAATGTGGAACTCTTCCTGCTTCCGGTGTGCTGCCTTCTGGGTTTTTCAGTTCTTTGCTGTTTTTATCATTAACTGTTTCATTTAAATTTCTTACGCGCTAACTTCATTTGTGCGATTGAAATAAAATTGCAATATATACATGTTGCTGGTTTGTGACACTAGATGATCTTCTGAAATAACTTAGTACTTCTAAAATAAGTAACACTGGGTGTAAACAAAGCACCGTGACACCCCCAGGCTCCACTGCTCACAGGTTACACATGACGCCACTGTACTTTAAAGATTCTGTAAAGCCACACGTGCTAAACGCTGCATCCAAAGGGAATGTGTGGTAACAGATCCACTCTCTATTTTGAAATACCTGTTGGGCTTTCCGTGTGTGTTGTACTTTTTCTCAGCACAGCTTGACACTGTGTCCCTGCTTTTATGGTAAAGATTATTGATCTTACTCCATTTTTGTTCTACAACGTGGTCATGTATACTTCAGATCATTTACTCTGTTGCATTTTTTTCTTTATATAGTTTGCAAAGTAAAGGACACTGTGTGATAATTTATTTTAAACATAGTAAAACCCTGTGTCAGTCATGTTTATATGTGGATGGCTGATTTCTTAGAAATGGCTCCTGTATGTAAGCGCGCAGTACTTTTATGTATTACAAAGTATCAATTTTGAGTTCCATTTAAAAGTTCTAATATCAGTCATTAGAAATACAACAATCTTGTATGTTTTTCTTTTAGCAGACCCCAACTTCCCCTTTCCCCCTCCATTGTCTTCCTCACCTCTATGAGCCGTATGTTCCTGTCACGCATCTGTAGTCTTTTAACACCAGCCAACTTTTCTCTCTGCCCTGACTTAGGTTTGCTCATGAATTAGAATGTTTGCAGACAGAAGTCACTTCTTATTCAAAATTCATTAAGCTGCAGGTGCCAACCTTTAAAACTGTGTCTCCAAGTCTTATTCCCCTGGAGAATTGGCCTTCCTAGAGCACAGCTTACAAGGACAGCTGCAGAGCTCTGGAGTTCCTTCCTGTGGCCATTTAACTCCATTAGCCTGTCACTCCTGAAGTTCTGCGGTTGTAAGCATAAAAAGGATGTAGTACAAAGCTCCTAATTCCCTCACCCGGCCATAAAACCCACCCACTCCCAAGCTCCAGACCTGCTCCACACAGCACCATTTTTAGTGGATGAACTAATGTATCTGCCCAAAGCTCCAAATAAGAAAAGGCCCTAGGAGTATACAAGTTACTGTTCAATACAGCCTCTCGCTGAAAGCCATTTGAGGTTTATAAGTTACTTTTTGAAAAGGATATGTTTGCAAGGAATCTGAGTGAACAGAGTTGTAGGCACCTTTGACCATGTGAAAACATGGGGAATATTCACTTGAACATGAATGTATTTCACTGACAAGCTAAGCCTCACCCTCAGGGAACGCTGGGTGAGGCAGGCTTCCCAACATCCAAATTGACTGTGGTTTGTTCCCTTTTATGTTAACTCTAAATTTTAAAAAAATAAAAGAAAAAAGCTTTAGATATCAACAGATATCTACAAGATGTCTGGGTTTTTTTTTTTTTTTTTTCAGTGCTGGGGTTTGAACTCAGGGCCTACACCTTGAGCCACTCCAGCCCTTTTTTTGTGATGGTTTTTTTCAGGATAGGGTCTCATGAATTATTTTTCCAGGCTGGCTTCAGACCATGATCCTCCTGATCTCTGCCTCCTGAATAGCTAGAATTACAGGTGTGAGCCACTGACATCTGTTAGATAAAACAGGTTAGATAAAAGAGGGGTTTTTTTTGTTTTGTTTTGTTTTTAACCTCATAATATTGGGAAACTGAAATGTTCACAAATGTATGAATTTGAAAGCTGATTAGAAAAGTAAAGTTAGAGTAAATTTAGGATGGTTAAAGATAATCACCATCAGTAGAGTAGTAGTGGTCAGGTCACACAGGAAAATTGAGCCTTTTGGTAAGGAATCTATTTGAAAGCTCTTTAAGGATGAACTGTGTACATTATCCTTCTAAACAGCATTTCTTTATGAAGTAGGAGCCATTGTGGAAGGGGAAATGACTTGGTCCTGATGAGTTGGGACACTAAGAACTTGCCACATTTATTGACGCTTTCTTTTGAAGTTGGAAGGGACTGATGTGAAGATCAAGGAGGAAAAATTACTTGCTTTGAGTATTACAGATGTTTACTGCTGCACATGGGACCGCAGTGAGGACCACGAAAGGCATGTGCACCGAAGTAAAAACAGACACCTCAGCTAAGTGTTGGTGGCAGGCCTCCATTGTCCTGTGGAGCACATCTGAGTGCTCAGATTAACCCTGCAGAGCCTCTGGGGACTTAGGTGTAGGACCCCAGGAGCTCTGTGTGGACCAAGCAGATCTGGGGCCAGAGAAGGTGGCTGAAAGAATACACATAACTCCTGGTACTTAGAAACTCAAATACACCAGCGAGCTTGTCACTAAATTCAGCCTTTTCTCAACCAAAATTAAGTTCTGAGGGAAGACATCTTTCCATTTTAATGAAAACCATTAGAAAAGCTTCTATTGCTCATTAGAGAGCTGTTTGACTGCATTTACTCCATAACAAAACATTTGTATACAACTGAGAGTCTCATAATTTACGATGTTGCAAATCTGATATTACTGTTTTCCCTTGGTTCCCAGAAAGATTTCTTAGCTGTAGATGGCAGAATTCAAAAAATACATCTTAAAGACATCTCTAGACCAGCAGTGAATGGTGTTGTGTGCCTATTGGTGTGGCAGGTGGTGTTGTCAGTGGTGGTTCAGAAAGGTCATGCAATTGGTACTTACAGGAAATAGTACTCAGAAGAAAAGACATTTATATTGACACTGTATTGAGGGATCTTTAATTCCCCATAAGGCCCCAAAGTTTCCATTCCAGGAGATAAAGAACAGGTTCTTGGCTTACATTTAAAATATACTCTAGAGGTAGTGCTGCAGCTCAGTGATGGAGTGCTTACCTAGGATGTGCAAGGTCCTGGGTTTGATCCCAGCGCCAATTGAGAAAAACTTGCAACCATGAAATAAATGTGCCTCAGAATCCTTTTTAAAATGTCCCTAAAAGCAACTATTGCTCAATGTTCTTCAGTTGCACCCGGGGAAGCTTGGGTCTCCCCATCCCCGTTTTTAACTTTCAAGGCATTTCTTTAAGTTTTCAACTTATTTTAGGTGAGAAATAGCAACTTAAGATTTTAATTGCCACTGCCTTCTGGGCCTGGGTGCAGACTTGGTTTGTGCTGCAGAGCATGGTGTTGGTATTCTGACGTATGGGTTTCCCCAGACCCTTTCACCCTCAAGCCTGAGGTATGTCTTTCCTGAGTGGTGGGCTAATAGCGTAATCTCCAGGGCCAGTGCCTAGACAGCAAGAGAAGTCAGGAGTGGATTTGTGCAGAGTGAGCTTGCCCTCCGAGGGCCAAGGCCAGGCCCCAAGTGTACCAGTTATATTTCCGGGGAGAACAACAGTTAACCTCAGAATGGTAATTGGGAAATCTCAAGTTCTCAGAGAAAGCCCTAGTACAGTCCAGCTGTCACTTCTCACTAAGGCTTCCTTCTGTACCATAGATGCCCAGTGCACCACCAAGGTTAGCTTCTCTTGCCAATGTTGAATTTGGGGGGTATTTGGTCTTGTATCTGAAAGCAAATATGGCTGAAAGACTGACTCCACTCTTGTTTGGTGGCACTGGGACTTGGACTCAGGGCCTCACAGTTGGTAGGCAGGGGCTGTACCACTTGAGCCCCACCCTTAGCCCTTTCTTCCTCAGTAATTTTTCAGTTACGCCCTGTGTTTATGCCTGGCTGGCCAGCCTCAAACCTCAATCCTCCTACCTATGTCTCTCACATAGCTGGAATGACAGGAACACACCTGGCCCTGGGTGCACTTCTTAGCTGCTTTCTTAGACTTCACTGAGCTTTTCTCTGTGTTCCTTCTGCATCGCTGCTCAGTCTTTCTATGTAGAACCCCAGGTAGGGCATTGGACTGGGACCCCATGGGCTTCACCAGTTGTCAGACTCTTTCTCTGTAAGGCCCTTCCACCTCTCAAATTTACTTGAGTTTCTTTCTTCCTTCAATGTATCCTCTGCAGCTATGGGTGGTTTAATCTTTTTTGGGCCAAGAGGAGAGGCCAAAGGACCTGAGTTTTGCTGTCAGGTCTGCTGCCTTTAATTGTTTAAAAATATTAGAACCTATTCAGTGGAAAACATCCATCCTAGGTACATAAGGAGTCATCGGAGGTGGCCGTCTTGAGGTCAGAAGTGTCACATAGACCCACAATGGAGTGTGTTCCTCTTTGCATCACTCATGCACTGTCACAGGGTGAATGGGGTGACAGTGTGGAGAAGAGTGCTGCCATTCAGAAAGACCAGTCTCAGTTATGTGACAGGTCCAGTGAGACCCATGCTCCACTGGGGTGTCAGTAGCTGAAAGTTTTTTGGACTCTTCCTGTGGCCCTAGCCAGCTGCTGTGCTGCTGTTGATGGTGTCACCGTCACCCTTGAAAGGGGAAAAGGTGACACTGCTTCCCTCACGATCCCTCGTAACCATCTGAATTGCTTCCCTTCCTATTTCCTTGTCTTTAACCAAAGAGAATTTGTTACCGTGATTTCTTTTTTCTTTTTAGGGTGGTACTGGGGTTTGAACTCAGAGCCTTGGTCTGCCACTTGAGCCATGCCCCAGCTCTTTTTGCTTTAGTTATTTTTCAGATAGGGTCTCACGTTTATGGCTGAGCTGGCCTGGACTGCGATCCTCCTTTAAACACTTCCTATGTAACTGGAATCACAGGAAGGTACCACCATGCCCAGCTTTACTAGTTGAGATGGGGTCTCGCTAACTTCTTGCCTAGCCTGACCTCACACTGTAATCCTCCAGATCTCTTGCCTCCCAAGTAGCTGTGATTACAGGCATGAAATATCACAGCCTGCCTGTTACGGCAATTTCTTTACAGACCAGGCAACCTTTGCCACCATATAGGCGTTCTGAGTCCTTGCTTGTTCTTAAGATTATTGGGGCACAGTCACTGGAAACCGAGGTTCACGTCCACAATTACAAAAGATGAGCTTTGCTTTGCCACCCTTCTTCACTCTGAAGTTCTTGTGTGTGTATTATTGGGATTCATTTCTTGTTAGCAATAAGAGATGCTTCTCATGCTGTGTGTTTTCTTTTGGGAGTGGAGAATTGTGTTTCTTGAGCTAGGAGGAAAATTCTATCGTGAAACATCTGTACTTGATGTAAAATACTTCTGTAGTAATACAGTACTTAGTGTCCTTAGATCTTTTCTCTTGAGGAAGCCTCTTTGAAGTCTATAGGAACTCACTGAAAGTCTCTAATCTGTCCTGGTGGGAGGTGATGGGGAGAAGGTCAGCCACATCTGTGCTGTGCACAGGGCAGAATATGGAAGCCAACAGGGTGCATTTGAGCTGGAAGCCAACCATGCCTGGCCCCTGGCAGAGGCTTTGCCAGGCCCAAACAGCAGCCAGTTCCCGTTGCTTCCTGCTGTGAGGGA